GAGCCCCAGGTAACCTGCCCTGACACCCTGTTGTGGGATCCTGTGAATTATTACACATACTAACAGGGACAAAAGCCATTAAAAAAAGGGAGACTTTCCGGAAGCACAGACACGGACACAGAGCCTGGGTACACCTGGAGAGCCTCTCCCACCGAGCCGCAGTGAAGTCTGAGGGTACGATGAAAGTAAACTCCAACAGCTCATTGCACAAAGGATTCCCAAGGCTGTTTTTACAAATTACCAAGATCTTCAGAGGAGAGTCCATCCCTTGTGATGGGGCAATGGCTGGGGATACCACTGTACCATTGAAATATTCATAGGAGAGATCCTGGAGTGCACTCCAGGGTCTCTCTGAAGACTATTTCAGTGGTCCAGTGGTATCTCCAGCCTCTTCCAAGTGCAGCAGATGCCACTTCTCTCAAATCAAGACCATACCAGCTTTTAAATGAATATGGTCCACAAACCACAGTCTATGCCAAAATGGGCACATGAAAAGCAGCGCAGGCGCTGGGCAGCCTTTGCCATCACTGGTAATTAATTACTGGCACAAGGACACAGACCACAACACTAAACAAGGATCTGATGGAAACAAAAGCACCCTGCGAGCAATGTGCGATCCCTGCATCCCTGCGGGTGGATCGCGCAAAGGGCGAGGGATACTGAATACACGTTGCGTGAGCTGAGAACAGTTCAGAAAGGAGAACACAGCCACTCTGACACCACACCAGAAACAAATGGTTTAGCTCACTGCATGGCCTGGGGGTGCCCCAGAGATGATGTACTGTCTGTTTTCATCCTTATCTGGACCACCCCGCCCCCAGCTCCATCTCTGGTGTCGTGGCTCTGTTTATTCAAGCTCAACTGCAGTATTAGTTTCTTGCCAGTTACCATAAACCATCTGGAACTCATTTCACTCCCTTTGGACTCTTGTTTCCCTGTCAGGGGGCTTCAGCTGCTGCATGCGCACAATCTTTTTGCTCAGGGGCTTTTAACCTGGTCTGTGTGAATTATACTGCAGGGACCAGTTCATGGCTAACCAGCAAGGACCCATTGCTTCCACCTGCTTCTGAAGTGTGGCCACTCCTGGGGTGGAAGGTGACTCCTGTTTAATAGCTGCGCTGCACAACAGTTCAGAAGAGGAATGCAAGTATATCACTATACCCACTAAATGAAACAGGAGCAACAGATAGTCATCACCACCATTTTCTACATAGCATGGGGATCCTGGGCCTTTCAGTGCAGGGCAGACTTTTGCCACCATTCACTCAACCGGGCTCCACATGTAGGCTTCAACCAAGCAAGTAGCTGTCAGTGAGGATAATGCTCCTGCCACAGGGGGAAAACTCTGCTTTCTTACAGAGACAACAGAACCTGGGATGGCGCAGCTGTCCCTTTCTCCACATATGCCATTCAGAACAGGGCTGATTTGCCTATTTCTGAATTATCAGGCCTATGCACCAGAGGAGAAACCAGGGGAGATGGAGCGTTGCACAGGAGTCCAGCTGCAGGCTCCTCTACTCAAGAGCTGCTTGCCCCAGAAAGTGGAAGCAAACCAACAGTGGGACTCACCCTGGATGCCTTTAGCGCCGTCCTCACAGGTAACACGCTCTGGGTGGCAGGAGCTGCTGGCACAGTTGCTGACTTACTGCTCACATCCAGTGCCTATGAATCCCCGAGGGCAGCCGCACCTGACCAAGCCCCGCTGGGGACTTCCTGAGCAGGTGCCTCCATTCCTGCAGGGCTCAGACAGGCAGGCATTCCCAAGGCTGTCACACAACCAGTCTCCCCAGCTGGCAGGGCACAGGCACACGAAGCTCCCAAACATGTTGCAGCAGCTGGCACTGTTTCCGCAGGGGCTGAGCAAACATTCATCACTGTCCGGTTTGCTACGTTTCTCTTCAAAGCCAGCAAATGGAGCAAGGGGAAACCCCTTCAGGGGAGCATGGAGAAAACACTGCCTTTATCCTTAACACAGCACAGGAGGTGGCAGACGGGAGCAGCCCACCAGCAGGGAGCCAATAGACCCTGCTGTGCCACAGAGTGCCTTCCTGTGATGGGGAAGCTGAGGCCACCAGGCGTGAACTGCACTATAAGCAGTACTGCATGGACAGTCACTGGGGAAGCCACTGGGGAAGTCTCATTCACCTCAGGAGGACATGGTGCTGAGTCTCAGCCTGCAGCACCTTTCGAGCTTAGGTCCCCAGCCCAGCAAGTCTGGCTGTTTGATTATTCCAGGAGAACCTAACAGAAGTCCTCTTGGAGAAAGCTGCATCAAGCAGGGTACCCTTCTCTATGAGTGCTGCTTAAGTCTGCTTGCTGCTAGAAGATCATACTAAGAGGGAGATGTTCCTGAAAGACTGACTCTTACCTGTGTGACAGCTGCAGAGGTAGCCATTTATTCTCTCCATACACTGGCCATTGTGGCAGGTTCTGGCTGGCAATCATCCATGCAAACCTCATGGTGTAACCCTGTGAAGCCTAGAGATGAAGAATCAGTCATTAGCAGATTGAAGCTTCTGAAGTTGCAGTCATTCAGTTCTCAAAGTATTTAGAGAGACCTGTTCCTCTGTGCTGCCTTTGGGTGCCAAAATGGCAAAAGTCTTCTAAGTGTAGTGCTGTGGCCTTGGGGCTGCTTGGATCCTCAGCACTGCTGGCCTGTTTAGACTTGCCTACAGTTCCTACTAGACTAGGATGATAGGATCTTTCTGTTAAGGATCTGGCTTAGGAACCCCAATGGCCAGATCCTTCACCACTGGGGAGAGATGCGACTTGCCAAGGGTCCTGCAGCAGGTCAGTGGTAGTAGCCAGAATACCTACGGGCACTCCCAGCATCCCACCCTGTGCCAAGACCAGCAAGGCATGTTGCTTCTCTTTGTAGCCAGCTTATCACTAACTGGCAAACCCCAGAGAACTAGTCTCCAGCACCAACTTGACAGACTATACCAGCACCCAGGGAATCCAAGTCTGATGCACCAGCTTAACAATGCCCAATACATGCAGGGATCTTCATGCAAATGGCTGTTTTTGGTGCTGAGATACAGTCTCCAGACCAAAGATGATGTTAAGAGGGAAACTCAATTTTTTGCATGGATCATTTCAAGAGAGAATAAAACATCTGCTAAAGTCCAGGGCTTTAAACAGGCACAATATTCAGCAATAACCACTTGCTGAGTGACCTCTTCATTCTCACCCACTGGCCTCCCATTTCCCCTGTCAAGGGGGAGTTTGTGGGAAAGTTTTCTTAGCTGCGCACCAAGGCAGAGGAATTCTCTGCTCAGCTGCTTCTCCATAGATCCTCTGTTGGAGCTGCCACTGGACGTGCTGAATAGAATGAGACTCTCACTTCGAACAGCAGCTTACACTGTCAGAGCACACACGAGGCACCATGATGCTTCAGTGACTCCTCACAGGATAGACCAGTGGTTCTCCACCCGCGGCCCGTGGGCCACATGTGACCCAACCAGCACACTCCTGTGGCCCAATGTTTTAAAAATCAAAACATTTTTTAAATGGATACACAGGAAATAAATTGTGTGGGTGCGGCCCACATAACATATTGAGAGCTGCAAGTGTGGCCCACTATGGCAAACAGGTTGACATGGGGTAGACAAAGACCATGGTGTCTGAAAGCATGCCACCAGGTCAAAATTAGCCTGACAGGTAACCATAACCAGTGCACGCAACCGAAATACAACCGCTTTTGCCTATGCAGTGCAGTTAATGCATTTAATTTGGGATGTGTTGGTGTGGTGAAATGCAGCTCATTTAGCTCCACAAGGTGAACTCACCTTTTATACAGGAGAGCTGTGCATGGAGGCTTGGGTCCCATGCTATAAGCACATCTTGGGAGGGGTGGCTGCCTTTGCTTAAGACAAACAGCTGGAGAAATCAGCTGCACTGCATGAAAATCGAGCGCAGACCTAGGGCAGACTCCTCAGCCATGAGCCACCTGGAAAAGCAGGGCCTGGGAAGGGGAATTAGGTTTGTGATTCGCAGCCAGAGGCATTCACAAACAGAGCCCAACCCCACATGCCACTGCTGCTCTCAGGCCATCTGCATTGTTATTCTGGGGCTTGAGGCAGGTTGGGGGATTTGCACTCCTTGTACAAGGTGAACCTGCTATCGGGGCCACTGGGGAAAGGATGGTGGAGCCTCCGACAGACCTGCTGGGACTGAGGGCTTGTTTAGTGTCACACTGGGCCCAAGCTAATGAAGCCCATACAGGTCAGCCATCTGCTCCCTTTATTATAATAATCAAAAAGCCTTAATCCAGCACTTCCCTCTAAGGATATTAGAAGTTAATATTTCAGCATTATGGGTGGAAATGGTATTGGGCTTTGCCAGCACAAATGGCAGCCCATTTCCGTCCTGGTCCCCTGAGTGCACAAACCCCACAAGGGTATTAACCAGCTTAGTCCAATTAAAGGACCTTAATACGAGTCTGTTAAGGCACTGATTTGTTAGGCTTGGCTATGCTTCCTGAAGAGGAGAGCAATTGGGTGGATTTATTATCCTAAACCATAAGCTCCAAGTCCTTAGTCATCCTCACTAAAGCCCTCCCCAAACTGGTCATGGTGCGCGCCACCTCCATATCACTGTGGCCCAGCCCAGCATAATCTGCTCTTTAACATAGTATTAAAATCAGAGCCAAAGGACACAGCTGCTTTCCTGTGTAACACTCATTACAGGAGACTTAAGGCTAGCATAACAGCAACACGTCTATTCCCAGCCAGCAGGCAGGAAACTCCCCAAGCCAGAAACAGAGGCCAGGAAAATGGGACAGCTCTGGGCATTTTGAATGAGGTGAGCGGCCAGAATCCCCTTTCATGTTCCACACCTCCGAAGATCCCAGGCCGGGCTGCCCAGGCTCTCTGCACCTGGATCTTCCCCCGATGCAGAACACCACAATGTTCAGCGCTGCCCATTCAGTGAATGGTACAAGCCTGCACCAGCCCTTGCTCTCTTCTTGCAGCATTACTTAGATGCAGTCACTGTGACAGAGAAGGAAAGCGAGTCCTTCAGCGTCCCAGAAGATGACCGCTTCAGAGCTGCCACTAGAATCGGGGCATTTCTAGCCCAGTCTTGTGCACAAACCATGCCTGTCTCAGGACAGAGCACCTGCCCTGGTTACCAGCCCGAGTATTCACGATCAAACCCCAGTTCTATTCTCCCCCACTCAACAATGGGGACGTGAGAGATGTCAACTTGGAGGCTGCTTTGATTAGTTTCTGATTTTTGCCCCCTGTGTCTTGAAGACTACTTTATGTGCAAGTTCACATCAGTACCTCCTCCACTCCTCCCTGGCATGTTCATCAGGCCCTAGTTTTCAACAGGCAAATTCAGTATAAGCCGGGAGTGACAGGAGTGCTTGCAAGCGGGGCAAATGTGCAAGTTCAGACAAAGAGTCGACTGGCTTGAACTCCCACTTAAAGCCAGTCGGAGAAGTTTTTACCTCTCTGTGGATGTCTGCTTCCAGTGGTGGCTGAGATGTGCCAAAATGCAGCAAAGAAAGCTCAGGTTTGGGAAGTTTTAGTTTGGCCAGTAGCAGGAGCATCAGAAATCTCAGTGGTGAAGTCCATTCTGGAGAGATTTCCAGCCATTTTTTTCAGATTGATAGGGTTCAAATAAGTGTCAGTATTGGGAAATGTTGAGGGATTCGCATGGTCAGATTTCTGACCATAGATTTGTCTTTCAGGACGATGAGTGAGTGAGCGAGACAGTGAGTGAGACCATCTTCTTTCCCCAACATCCCTGAAGAGTGCAGAACAATCGTTTTTTCAGTGAGCTGTCAGGGGCCCACCTTGTCGTACACACAGCCAGGCCATGGGACATCATTCTGATGTCTAGAAAATTGGAAAGAAATTTAGGGGTTTGCAATCTACCTCACAAAATCAGAGGCATGGGAGTACTGCCATTGCGCACAGACTGCACTAGGAGCTCTCCAAGGCCTGCAGAAGTCCTCACACCTCATGAGCCAAGCGAGTGCGCTCTGTGTGTGAGGTTGATGATTCAGAGCAGCTGGTCCCAACTGACAAACTACACAAAGCTTCAGTTCCGGTAACTCTAACCAAGCCCTACTACACATGCTGGCCAAGCTAAGCCACTTAGTTTATCATCTCTGCTGATCAGGTCCTCCAATGGATCAAGCCAGAGTGCCTGCTCCCTGGGCCAGACACATTCTGCAATTGGTCGCTGCCACCTGCGGTCACAGAGGCAGAGGAAACAGGTGGATTGGAGTCCTTCTGCACAGAAAGCCCATGGGGAGATGTGCTGGACAGACAGAGCTTGGACCACAGCATGGGGTGTGTTTGATTTCAGACCTAACTCAAGTGTTCGGGTAACAGTAGCAAGACAGTCCTGTCTGGAACATTTGCAGCAAAAGAGCATGTTGCTGAGCGTGTCCTGGCTGGCTAAAGCTCAGGTGTGCGTGCAGCTAGTGTCTGCCACAGGATGCTGAGAAAAGGATGGCCATCAGGCGCCATCGTGTGGCGAGAGCCTCTTATTGCTTTGGGATGCTGCAACCCTGGGACTAAAGAACATCCCCGAAAGGGACCGGGTATTCTTGTCAGATGGGTAATCCAATAGGCAGCTTCTCAGAAAGTCTGCCTTGTCCGAGAGGCTGGGCTCAGAGCCACGTCCCGCACTGCCACCGCTCCCAAAGAAATCCCTCCCTCACGGCAAAACGTCCACTTTTCAAACAGCACCAACAAATGAAGGGCACAGCCCTGCTGCAGCTCACAGAGGTGGAGACGTGAACTAGAGGAGATACAGAGAAACCTGCATTAGTTACTTGCCAGGCAGAAATAACCTACCTGCCCTGGAATTTGCAGCCCTCTTGGTGCAGAACCCTATGAAGAACCGCATCCACTAAGAAGTGACTGGTAACCCTCTGGTTTTAAACCCTCTTGGTTTAAAGGCACAGCACCGGCCCTAGCGGGGTGCCTGCTAAAGCAGCACGTGGCAGCTCCCAGCCCGTGTACTCCAGACACTCAGAGATGGAGCCACTCTCCTGTTGACCTACACGCGGGGGGAGTTAGCGGAGTCAGCCCATCACTAAACAGGTGTCTCTTGAGCTATTCCTGACCCTGCAGTTTGGCTCTAAGCTCCCCTGATCCTCTTCTGCTGCTTACCTCTGCCTTGCTGCAGAAAAGTCCCTGTAAAGGGACCTCTGTGGGAGACAGGAGAATAAGAATACTGATCAGCACCTAGGGGCAGCCAATGCATGCCAGGGAAAAAGGACTCCTCTCTGCAGACATGACAGGCAGCACGAGGAGTCTGACATGTGGCCTGGGTACTTGATGGCTGGGCTCACTGGAGGAATTTGTGACTGTTATTTGTCAAGATTGGTCAGGAGTGCTCAGAATTCGCCTTCCTTCTCCTCCAGACTCTCTCACTGTGAGGAAGCCTCTCAGGGCCACTAGAGGATGCTGCTGGGAGGTTTTCTGGTCTACACGCCAAGCGCAGCCACTCAGGCTGGC